GATGGGAGTTAAGTCCTCATTACTATCATGCCCATACTCTAGCATGGAATCCATGGTCTCCTTCAAGTTGAATTCCATACCTTGATATACAAGATAAATCGATCAAGCCTAAAGAGCAACAAACAAAGGAGCATAAAAGTATGAAATCAAAAGTAAAATATGCAAGAACCTACCATCAATAGAAACAAGCCCTCATTGCTTTCCAGCGTTGACAGAATCTTCAATATCTCATCCAAGTCGAAGTCCATATCTGCATACATACGATAGACTTCATCAGGCCTGAAAGATAGCGAGTAAAAATGTACAAGTGTAAGAGTACGAGGGGAAGGTAAGGGAGCCTGCCATTAGGTCGACTGATCTCGACTATCAATATATTCCTCATAGTCAAAACTGACCTAAGTCAAGTGCAAGAGATAGTGTATCGATCACTTGTTGTATTTGTGCTCTTAGAAAAAGAGTAATCTCAACTTGACTATTGAGCAGATGATGTCTCCAATTAGTGTTGAAACGAAATTGACCATCAGAGGGTCAAGTAAAGAAGAATCGAGATTTCCACTCTCTATTGGAATTCCTAAATTTAGGAAAGCGCAAGGAGACCTTAGAAGTAAAGACAAAGGCATTATACTAAGCGAGCTCGTGCATTTCAATGACGCAGCTAAAGAAGTCTATTGGGAATGGGATCTTATTACTAAGGTCATACATATAGTACAACGCATTCTCCCACGCATTAGGATTTATTTCACTAGGAATAAGGTGAAATTCATTAAAAATCGAAACGAAGAAGGGATGAATGGAGAATTGAAAACCACAATCCATAGTATCCTTATACACAACAATTTCACGAGGTCATACTCGGAAAGTCTCTCTTTGGGCCAAAGGGCTCTATAAACATAATTGCCAACAAGATCGAATTTGTTAAGTGATTTTTCCAATATAAATAGGGAATAATAAAGGCTATAGCATTTTGGTATCTCAAGAATAACTATCTCACCAACTGGATCTGTCGATTTCCAAATTTTTGTTCAATGACTTATCCCTTGTTTGAGCCCTATTTTTCATCACAATGCATTCTTTAACAGTGATTTGACCCTATTTAAACCATATATTTTTTTAATAAAATAATATTACACGTAAATTCAAAATTTTTCCTTATTTTTTAACCATACATTCTCCATCTAACACTATTGTAATTTTTATTTTTTTTTTGAAAAAATGGGATTCAAACAAGGTGTTAGTTGCATCAAAATGTTTTAGGGGAATTTAGATGGAATACATGAGATTCGATTGAATGAGTATGGCTATTGGAATCATGGGTGATGGATCGTCCCCACGAGGGGTGTAATTGTTGGGTCTTGTTAATGGACAACCAGTTTGTTGACTGACAATAAGCCCATCCAATGATGGGTCGATCGACATGCCTGTCCCTTCACTCCCACTTTCATCGAAGGAAGAAGTTAAGATAGATTTATAAATGATAGGAGGAAAGACAAGTGAAAAAATTAGAACAAAAGAAGAAAGGAGAAAAAGATTACCTTGACTATTGAAGAAAGCTAGAAGTTTTGTAAGATAAGAAATGAATGTAAAGGGAGACCTCACCCCTTTATATAGATCTAGATTTTGAATTTTTTGTGGGAAATTTTTCCTCTAAAAACCAAACCCACTACTAATGGGGTGCCATTTGTAAGTCTTACTACTACCCAACGCCACTTGAACTGCTTGACCCACTTATATTATACCAAATGTCGATATGAGATGAGTCGATTAAAAAGAAATAAAAATAAAAAATCAATGGAGATGAATGAAGAAGATACCCTTTATTGATAAATGTCGACAAGAGGTAGAGGGGCAAGTGATATTTGATGGCACCAATAATTATATGCGATGGCCTACAATGTGAAAGCTATTCAAAAAGCACTCTACGTAGAGCATCCCATATTAGAATATCGACTACTTCGAGACCCTCTACATCCATGCTGGGTCATTAATCACTATGATGCCCGATATTTTAACGAGCTAATTATTGATGAAATTGAGTGGATTCTTATTCATAATTGTCTAATCATGGTGTGTCTAGGCCAAAAATCCAAACTGGAGAAGAAAAGAGCTAAATGAAGGAAGGGAGGATCAAAAGTCCACAAAAACATGAATTCGAGACAAAAATGTACAAGTGCCGAAAGTTTAGGGACCTATGGCTACAATTTTGGAGGCAAAAGTGATATGGAAATCAAATTTTGAGGACCAAATTGTACATGATCAAAGTTGAAGGGTCTAATGTGCAATTAAATGGAAGACTAAGTTGGAAAACGAAATGAGCGTGCACGGGAGGCCCTTCATGATTTATCGAGGCCGAAGGGGTCTTACGATGTGTAGGCATGCCATGAATGCCTGTGTGCACTGCCTTTTGGCTAAGCGAATTTTGCCTATTTTGCATAAATTCTGCAATTTCACTTGAGGCGATTTTTTGCCAATTAAATATCGGTTTGTTGGTCATTTCTAGGGCAACACACATAGAAGAACACTTAGAAAAGCATTCAAGGAGAAAAAGGGACAAGAAGAAGGGAGAATACCTAGCTAAATTTAGGAGTTTACAAGAAATATTCAAGACTTCGATCCCTCATTTCTTGAAGAATGTATTCAAGAGACGGTTTTCTTCCACGAACTTGTATTTTTATATTATCTCCTTCATTTTGTTATGGGTTCTTTCTTTATTACATTTTTGTGCTTCTATTTTGCAATGGCTAAGTTTTAATGTTAGGATTTATGGTATAACTTGGCATAAGTTTCTTTAATGTCAATATTCATTATTTAACGCTTTAATTAATATGTGATTGTGCATTTATTATTGTGCTTAAATTTTCATCATGTAGGTGGCCAATAGATGATTGAATTAGGTGTTTTGTGTAATTATTAAGAGATTGTAGTACATTCTTGACCAAAATAATTAATGCCTAGGTTGTTTTAGGAGATAGAGATATATTCCAAACCCTAAGTGATCGATTGAGTTATTTTCATCATGATTTAATGTAGTCGGTTGGTTTTTTTTTATCAACATAAAGATATAGTAGGTAAAACCAATCGATTTTGGTTATTTCGTTCAAAAGAGATAATTAGCTAAATTTGAAAAATCGGGTCTAACAATGAAGTGAGGTAATATGCATTTTCGGTGTGTTGCGATATTAAAGAAACGACGTTTAAGTGACATCTTAAATCCCAACTCATTTACGATTCAAATTTCATTCTCTTTCATAATTGCTACTTTAATTGATCTTCAAATTTATTTTCTTTTCCTTTTCACATATAAAATTTAATTGTGTGTTTTCAATTGTTAAAATTGAGTCAACAATTGTATAATTAAAAAAAAACTCCTAAAGGAATTGATACTTGGACTCATAAATCTACTTTATTATTTGAACACACCCGTACACTTGCGGTATATAATTTTAGCGAACAAGATCCTCTACATCCTTGCTTGGCCGTTGACCATTGTAAGGCCCTCTGCATCATTGCTTGTCCGTCAACCACTATGAGGCTCTCTATATCCATGCTTGGTTGTCGACCACTATGAGATCCTCTATGTTTATGCTAAGTTGTCTACCACTGCGAGGCAAAAATCACACTTGACCATAAAAATATCCTTAAGTTGGATGGGAATTATTCCACAGTTAACATGGGCACAACCAACCGCTTGACATGTGGTGGTCTCTAACCCAAAACATGGGAATAGTGCGATGTGTTACGTAGGACACGTGGCATGATAACCATCCAGCAGTTACTTGGCCTCAGCTGCCTATAAATACTCCTAACGTGAGACAGGTATGTCTTTATAATATTTTGGCTTTCTGAATACACATTTTACCTTTTATTCCTAAATCTACATTCCCTAGTCCACTATTAATTCTCACATTGGAGGTTCAATGGGGGAGAAAAGCACCAACCTCTTTTGCAGGTTGCATTTATTCATCGGAATAGCATAAATGTCTTGCGTCGCAAGGAGGGCATGAATGTTTGTTTCATAACTACAATTTTCAATCACACGTTCTCTCATAAAATAATATTACCCGTAAATTGAAATAATTTCATAATTTTTAACCACATATTATCTAAAAAATCATTATTTCAAAACTTATTTCTCCCCAGATTTTCATTAAAATGAAGCTTAGAGGAAACTTTGTAAAAATTGATTTTTTAGAGGATCTATAGAGTGTGTTTTTTATTTCTTTCATATTTATTTATTTATTATTATTTTTACATATAAAAATATTTTATCGAAACAATATGATGTTAAAAATTAATTTGAAGAAATGCACGGTATATTCATTATGATTTAGAGCATTTTTGAGCTCTATTTTATGTCCAAAATGTATTTTTGCAATAATATTTTGATGGAAAGATATGTGATTAAATCCCTGTTTGGCCCCCATTTCTTGGTAATGAAAATGGGTGGAATAGTTTTTTCTGAAAAATGAGTAGTTGAAAAAGAGGGAAAAATTTTCGATTTATGTGTAATATTATTTTATGGAAGATTGCATTGTTGAAAATAGGAGAGAGAAAAATAGAATGTAATGAAATGTAATTTAATGGGGGCCAAATGGGGCTAAAGAATGTTTGATTGAGAATAAGACAAATATAAATATGTTTTGAAAATGATCATTGCTACATGTCCATCATGATGTACATTTTGTCACGTGTCATTATCCTATTGTATAGTTTAAATTTCAAACAATTTTTCATCTAATTTAGACTTGATAATAATGTAAGTGTCAACTAAAGTATCAAAAATAAATGTACAAATAACAAAGTTTCTTTGAAAATAATGGGGACCAAACAATGGCTTGGTGGGAATTAAAATCAGTTTTTTAGTAAATTTTGATAAAAGTTGTTAAAACGTATGGTTGAAAAGTTGTATGTCCTAAAAAATATGTGATTAAAATTAGTTATTGAGTTTGATTTATATTAGAATCTGAATTTTAATTTGTAACAAACATGTCCTTAATTTTGTTATCAATAATTCTGTAATCACTTGAACCCCCAAGGTGAAAAAGGACGGAAGTAACCGTCGACAGCCGACGACCTGTCGCACTCCCAGTGAATTCACTTTCCGAATCAACTCCGCTCCGCTGAAACTGCGGCTCTACGACAATCGTGGACACCACTCACAGCCTCACACTCCTCTCTTTCAACGACACACAAAAAGCGGGAATTCAAATAATTTTCAAATCTAAGTCTTCTCTTAAATTCAAAAAATAGATGAGAAAAATGGCCCTAGATCAAAACGAATGCCCCTACACTTTTCAAGTACGCTCTCTCTCTCTCTCAAAATTACTTTGTTCATTTTAATGATTACTCCCACCTTCCACGTACACGCACATTACTGCATTACACACGGATGCGTATAAAGCTTCTGCGTTACATATCATTTAGATCTGGATATTTGCTGTATTTTTCATATATTTATGTGCCCACAAAAAGATATTGGAAGATAATCGTCTGTAGAGAATATTTATATGCAGAAGCAGGAGGAAGAGAAGGAATTTGATCTGGGTTCTGACGATACCGACGCCCCTTTGCCCCTAACTGTCACTTCAAGGGTCTGTGTGATCGTCTTTGTTTTTTGCTTTCAATAATTGATTTTTCTTTTTGGAGTAATAAGAACTGTTGTCTTTGAATGTGGGTATTGAGGAGATTGCGAAACGCAGGTATTGTATATGTTGGGGGATATAACGTCGGGGCCTGCTTATAGGTTCGTGCAATGGCTGGAGTTGGTCCGTAAACGCAGCAAACACAGGTCCTCAGGATTCCCACACCCCCTTCACCGCAAGGAGAGTATGTTTCTGAGGTCGGTTGATATTTTGTAGTTTCAGTTTGATCATAACGGGGGCTCTGAAGTGCAGTACAATGTTGAATTTCAATTTTTTTGGGGATATATTGTTATTATGTTAGTAGCTGGGGTAGCTCCTGATTGACCTCCATTAAATCAGAACTCTTTTTTCTAACTCATTTCCAACCACACATTTACACAATAAAATATTTTGGGCGTAGATTCAAATTTTTTTCTACTTTTTAACCATACATTCTCCAAAAAATCACTATTTGAAAAATTATTTTCCCATAGTGTTAATTGCTCATGTCCAAATAATTCACATATCCCATACTAGATTAAGAAGATGTGAACATTATACTTAAGGAGTGATAGTTTCTGTTTAATGATACATTTTCCATTTTGTGTAAATTACGTGATGCATAGCTCTTGAAAAGTCCATGCAATGCCCACAAGAATCAGTGAAGGAAATGGACGATTTAGTGGTAGAGATCATGCAAGAAATGCTATATAGATTTTGGAATAATGAGATTTTGGACTGTATCTTTGCAATTAAGATCTTGAAATCAGCAAGCATTCATTAATTTGCAATGTATTAATTTCTTTCTTTGGGATTTATGGTCGCTAGTGTAATTAAAAATAATAGTAATTAGGTCCCAACAGTAAAATTTTACTGGTTATAGGCTAGTCGAACCAAGAATGAAGAGAACAAATGAAAAATACTACTTTATCTTAATGGGCAATATGTGGAGCTGTTGTTTTTTTGTTGGGGGAAGCAGTTCACGCTGAAGTTTCGTTTAACATTGTAATGGATGGAAACCACATGATATCTAGAAGTAATTGTCATTACTGAGTTTCTGATGAATTAATGTCAAATAAATGAACTCTTTGTGTGTACATCTAATGCTCTTCTGCTGCATTTGTTTTGTACGCCTTGTGATACCCACGTAGTATAGCTTTTAGCTTGGCATTGGAAGCAATAAACCGTGGGGATCTAAATAAAGCATTCACAAATAGTTAGGGTCACCATATATTGGACAAAAAATTAGAGAAACTATAGCTTGAGATGGATGAGAAGTAGCATCGTCAAAGGGTATTAGTATTGGGAGACTAGATGCTTCTATGTTATTATGCCACATGGCTTCGTGATTGCAATGGTTTATGGAATAGCGTAAAGTAATTTATGCAATTTTGTGTAAAACACCATCGTAAACTCAACCTATTTACTTTATTCTTTATCGAAGTGAACCATTGTAATTACCATTTCATTCTCCTAAAACAATCATATCTATAATTGAACAGAGAATTGGGGAATTTTTTCTATATTATATTATTCATTGGAAATCACGATATATATACATGTACAATCTCTCTAAGGTATGCTAATCTCTCTAGTTAATTACGTTAATTTAGCTACTGAAATTAGGCTAATTAGAGACTAATTAGCTCGTAATGTTAGCCTATTATTCTGTAACACTCCCCCTCAAGCTGGATAGATATTAATCATGCCCAGCTTGTTACAAAGATACTCAACCCTAGTCCTATTTAATGCCTTTGTGAAGATATCCCCAAGTTGCTCTCCAATCTTCACATAACCAGTAGAGATTATATTTTCCTGGATTTTCTCACGAATGAAATAACAGTCGACCTCAATGTGTTTTGTCCTTTCATGGTATACCAGATTTGAGTCGATATGAAGGGTAGCTTGGTTGTCACACTTGAGTTTTGCTGGTACCGAAGGCTTCAATCCAACCTCAGCTAGAAGATGTTGTATCCACAAAATTTCACATGTAGTCTGGGCCGTGGCTCTGTACTTCGATTCTGCACTGGATCGGGATACGACATTCTGCTTCTTACTCCTCCAGGACACAAGGTTTCCACCAACGAAGATGCAATATTGTGTAGTAGACCGTCTATCAATTTTAGATCCAGTCCAATCAGCATCTGCAAAGCCTTCAATGCAAAAATGTCCGTGATTGCTATACACTATACCAAGGCCAGGAGCTTTTTTCAGGTAACTCAGTATCGGTTCCAATGCTGTCCAATATTTTACTGTAGGCGCAGACATAAATTGGCTAACAACACTAACAGCATAAGCTATATCTGGACGAGTCACTGTGAGATAATTTAGTTTCCCGACAAGTCTCTGTACTTTTCTGGATCATCAAAGAAATCACCATCATCTTTTGTAAGATGTACATTAGGAACCATTGGAGTGCTGCATGGCTTGGCTCCCATCTTTCCAGTTTTCGCCAGCATATCAAGTACATACTTCCTTTGAGACAAGAATATCCCTTTTTTGCTTCTTGTTACTTCTATTTCGAGAAAATATTTTAGTTGGTCCAAGTCTTTTGTGTGAAATTTGGTATGCAGAAATAACTTGAGAGAGGAGATTCCTGCGCAATCATCTCCTGTAATGATAATGTCATCAACATAAACAACAAGAAGAATAATGCCAGCTGCTGACTGTGTGTAGAAGACTGAGTGATCACATTTGCTCTTCAACCCAAACTCTTGAGCTACTTCAGGCACGGGGACTCTATTTTAGACCATATAGAGATTTCTTTAGATGACAGACTTTTCCATACTCTCCCTGAGCAACAAATCCAGGTGGTTGCTCCATGAACACCTCTTCCTGGAGATCACCATGAAGGAATGCATTCTTGATAACCAACTGGTGTAAGAGCCAATCTTGGGATGCAGCAATGGATATAAATAGGCGGACAGAGGTAAGTTTGGCCACCGAAGATAAGGTATCCGAATAATCCACTCCATAAGTCTGAGCAAATCCTTTTGCAACAAGTTTGACTTTAAGTCTTGCTACAGAACCATCTGGATTGACCTTGATAGCAAAGACTCATTTGCATCCCATAGCTTTCTTGCCTTTGGATAGATCCACTAGCACCCATGTGTGATTTTCATCTAGAGCGTGTATCTCCTCAAATATTGCATTATTCCATCCAGGATGACTTAAGGCTTCTTTTACTGTTCTAGGCATAGAGATTGAATCTAAAGAGGCAATTAAAGAACTAGACGCAGGAGACAGATGGTCGTAAGAAATGAAGTTAGCTATGGGATAAATAGATTTAGGGAGAGTACATTGATGTTTGCCTTTGCGAAGACTAATGGGAAAGTCAAGGTCGTTTGGAGAATCAGACGACGAAATAGTCGGTGCAGGACATGTATCATTGGTCTCTTGCCTTCTGGAATAAACATGGATAATAGGCGGCTTTACTTGAGTAGGAGGTTGCTCATTAGAGGTTCCGAAAAATGTAAGAGAAGCGCCATCATCAGATTGCTCAATAGGAGCACTTGGATGTGTGATTTGGTAGGTTAGCCACTCATCTTTCTCTCCCTGACTTGTAGACATGGAGGGAGAGGAGAAGAATGATGTATTTTTTGAAAGATCACATCAGTAGAAACTAGGTATTTATGGAGATCAGGTGAGTAGCATCGATACCCTTTTTGAAGACGAGAATATCCTAGAAAAGCACACTTCAAGGCTTTTGGATCCAGTTTAGTAACGGATGGCCTTACATCACGAACGTAATAGGTGCTTCCAAATACCCGTGGTTCCACTTGAAACAGTGACTTGTTTGGAAATAGAATACTATATGGCATAACCCCGTTAAGTACTTTAGATGGCATGCGATTAATCAGAAAACATGCTGTAGAGACGGCATCAGTCCAGAACTGCTTAGGATCGACCAAAAGAAAAGGACTATAATTAGCAATAGATCGGGCGCAGTCAAACGATCGATAAAGGACTTAGGGTTGCTCTGATACCATGTAATTGAATAGAGAATTGGGGAATTTTTTCTATATTATATTATTCATTGGAAATCACGATATATATACATGTACAATCTCTTTAAGGTATGCTAATCTCTCTAGTTAATTACGTTAATTTAGCTACTGAAATTAGGCTAATTAGAGACTAATTAGGCTACTGTAATTAGACTAATTAGAGACTAATTAGCTCGTAATGTTAGTCTATTATTCTGTAACAATATCCATCATTATGTTATAGTTAAATGATGCAAGTCATTTAGGTTTTGCTACAAGTAAGCCATTCATCTGTATGGAACGGAATGTAGTTATAGCACCTTATATGGAAAGGAACCTAGACATGCATGTCGTAAATTGTCATCGGTTGTAGCCTCTTAGTACATTTGTATGATCTGTTTTTAATGCTTACTACTGCCTAAATATTCCCAAGTAGCGGGAATCTTTTTATTCTTATGTTTTTGTACATTGATAAATGAATAATTTCCTTTCTTTGTCAGCTTACCTTCACAATTTTGCTTCAGTGCAGGAAAGTCAAATCTTGACTTGAAGAGTTCCCAACCTTCTGAGCAAGCTACAGAAATCAGCTTGTGGGAAAGACTTGGTAAAGTGTCAATGTTGGATATTGAATCGAGCTGCTTCTCCTGGAACATGCTTTCTTCCCTTCACCATACTGAGCACAGCAGCAGCACTGAGCAGTCTGAAGATGAGATGAATAAAGCATTGGAGGTTTGTAATGCTAAAACTTTAGATACACTACAATCTAGTGAAGAGACATTGTGGAACTGAGGGCATAGTTTCTTCAATGTAGAGAGATGGATGCACCAACTGACAATGTGCTATAACTGGGGAGCTGGTGCTGGAACAAGCAACTGATCGAGGCACCCACGTATCAAGAATATAAAGACCAGATACATGTCCTTTACCAATAATCTACTTCGTTAAGAGAAATATATGTATATCTATATATTAATTGATGCTTTCCATTTTTTTTAATTATTATTAAATATGATGTGTAACAAGAGATAGATGACATGTATAATTGCATGCCATTCTACTTATAACATATATGTTTCCTTGTCCTTGATAATTCAGATTGTGTTAACACTACTCTACTTTCCACGAGGTTCTTTAGTCTGTACTGTAGAGATTTGAAAGCTATTGTCCTTATGATATGTTGACATGTCTTCGACACCCAATGGCCAATTCTTACAACCTGCAAACTCTAGGCACTAATGTGGTGTCTTCCATATTACGCCTACGAAACTCAAGTTAGCACATGTTTGGATGTTCATATAAGTGCACTAAGTCCAAGGGTCCACTATTTTTTGTGGCTAATATATATATATTTTTAATTATGGATCCATGCAATAACAGTGGCTCCTGCTTTTATCTACTTTTTAAGAAAAACAGCTTTTAAAGATAACCAAGCAAGCACTTAGACCGTTACCCAATAATGTTAGTCTTAATGAATCCACTTCCACCTCTAGTCTATCTATCTTTTATTCTTGCAAACAATTCACAGTAAATTTATCTCAATGTAGAAGTAGTTATTTGATCATTTATCATATTTCCTTTTAACTTCTATTAATGTTTAGACAGAGTTTATACTTCTTTTGTTCTTAATTATGGCTTTTTTTAATTTTATGTGGGTGCAGGTCACTGTAAATTCCGGGGGTGTTGTTTTCTTTGCACTTTTCAACCAATCTGAAAATGATGAATCTTCTCCCAAGGAAGCTGCGGCTGTGATAAAGTTCTCATCATCGAGGATGGCCACCCAGTCAGAACGACTTGGCTATGAATTCGCGAAGTGGCTAGGTGTCCAAACCCCACAAGTTGTACCTTCTTGCCTCAGCAACTATTGCTTTCTATATCTAAAACGGGAAGTCTAAATTTTTGCCAAACATTTTACACCATTTCAGGCTAGAGTAATTCACAGTACAAGTGCAGAGTGGCTGCAAATCAAAGAGGCTGCAGAAAAAGCAAAAGCAGTAGCAATTGCAGAAGGAGATGAAATTAGTGAAACGACATGTGCAGAACTTCTAGAAGCTCTTGAGCTCAGTCGCTGCCTTTTACTGATGAAGTGCGTAAGGAATTTTGTTGTGAGTAAGATTCTACTGTAGATCTGCATGTAATGCACTTAAACTTGTTGCTAATTTCATTACTTTATTGTGCTGAAAATGGCATAGGAATTTCTGTAACTCACACTTAGCTCGTGGCCTTAATCTAGTTGCTGTCCTTGCTTTTGTGTATGTTGACCTACTTTATCATAGTCACCTAGAAATTTGTACGATATATTTATAATGCAGAAATTATGATAAATCGCAGTTCGCTGGAAAAGTCTTTTAGCAATTTCAATTATTGGATGATTTCCGGACAGTAAATTCTAGTAATATATTTTCTTGTAAGATTTCTTATTTTACGTCTTTTAGTTCCCACAGAACATTTCATTGGAAATCACGATATATATACATGTACAATCTCTTTAAGGTATGCTAATCTCTCTAGTTAATTACGTTAATTTAGCTACTGAAATTAGGCTAATTAGAGACTAACCGACCAAAAGAAAAGGACTATAATTAGCAATAGATCGGGCGCAGTCAAACGATCGATAAAGGACTTAGGGTTGCTTTGATACCATGTAATTGAATAGAGAATTGGGGAATTTTTTCTATATTATATTATTCATTGGAAATCACGATATATATACATGTACAATCTCTTTAAGGTATGCTAATCTCTCTAGTTAATTACGTTAATTTAGCTACTGAAATTAGGCTAATTAGAGACTAATTAGGCTACTGTAATTAGACTAATTAGAGACTAATTAGCTCGTAATGTTAGTCTATTATTCTGTAACAATATCCATCATTATGTTATAGTTAAATGATGCAAGTCATTTAGGTTTTGCTACAAGTAAGCCATTCATCTGTATGGAACGGAATGTAGTTATAGCACCTTATATGGAAAGGAACCTAGACATGCATTTCGTAAATTGTCATCGGTTGTAGCCTCTTAGTACATTTGTATGATCTGTTTTTAATGCTTACTACTGCCTAAATATTCCCAAGTAGCGGGAATCTTTTTATTCTTATGTTTTTGTACATTGATAAATGAATAATTTCCTTTCTTTGTCAGCTTACCTTCACAATTTTGCTTCAGTGCAGGAAAGTCAAATCTTGACTTGAAGAGTTCCCAACCTTCTGAGCAAGCTACAGAAATCAGCTTGTGGGAAAGACTTGGTAAAGTGTCAATGTTGGATATTGAATCGAGCTGCTTCTCCTGGAACATGCTTTCTTCCCTTCACCATACTGAGCACAGCAGCAGCACTGAGCAGTCTGAAGATGAGATGAATAAAGCATTGGAGGTTTGTAATGCTAAAACTTTAGATACAGAGAGAGAGAGAGAGAGAGAGAGAGAGAGAGAAATATGTATATCTATATATTAATTGATGCTTTCCATTTTTTTTAATTATTATTAAATATGATGTGTAACAAGAGATAGATGACATGTATAATTGCATGCCATTCTACTTATAACATATATGTTTCCTTGTCCTTGATAATTCAGATTGTGTTAACACTACTCTACTTTCCACGAGGTTCTTTAGTCTGTACTGTAGAGATTTGAAAGCTATTGTCCTTATGATATGTTGACATGTCTTCGACACCCAATGGCCAATTCTTACAACCTGCAAACTCTAGGCACTAATGTGGTGTCTTCCATATTACGCCTACGAAACTCAAGTTAGCACATGTTTGGATGTTCATATAAGTGCACTAAGTCCAAGGGTCCACTATTTTTTGTGGCTAATATATATATATTTTTAATTATGGATCCATGCAATAACAGTGGCTCCTGCTTTTATCTACTTTTTAAGAAAAACAGCTTTTAAAGATAACCAAGCAAGCACTTAGACCGTTACCCAATAATGTTAGTCTTAATGAATCCACTTCCACCTCTAGTCTATCTATCTTTTATTCTTGCAAACAATTCACAGTAAATTTATCTCAATGTAGAAGTAGTTATTTGATCATTTATCATATTTCCTTTTAACTTCTATTAATGTTTAGACAGAGTTTATACTTCTTTTGTTCTTAATTATGGCTTTTTTTAATTTTATGTGGGTGCAGGTCACTGTAAATTCCGGGGGTGTTGTTTTCTTTGCACTTTTCAACCAATCTGAAAATGATGAATCTTCTCCCAAGGAAGCTGCGGCTGTGATAAAGTTCTCATCATCGAGGATGGCCACCCAGTCAGAACGACTTGGCTATGAATTCGCGAAGTGGCTAGGTGTCCAAACCCCACAAGTTGTACCTTCTTGCCTCAGCAACTATTGCTTTCTATATCTAAAACGGGAAGTCTAAATTTTTGCCAAACATTTTACACCATTTCAGGCTAGAGTAATTCACAGTACAAGTGCAGAGTGGCTGCAAATCAAAGAGGCTGCAGAAAAAGCAAAAGCAGTAGCAATTGCAGAAGGAGATGAAATTAGTGAAACGACATGTGCAGAACTTCTAGAAGCTCTTGAGCTCAGTCGCTGCCTTTTACTGATGAAGTGCGTAAGGAATTTTGTTGTGAGTAAGATTCTACTGTAGATCTGCATGTAATGCACTTAAACTTGTTGCTAATTTCATTACTTTATTGTGCTGAAAATGGCATAGGAATTTCTGTAACTCACACTTAGCTCGTGGCCTTAATCTAGTTGCTGTCCTTGCTTTTGTGTATGTTGACCTACTTTATCATAGTCACCTAGAAATTTGTACGATATATTTATAATGCAGAAATTATGATAAATCGCAGTTCGCTGGAAAAGTCTTTTAGCAATTTCAATTATTGGATGATTTCCGGACAGTAAATTCTAGTAATATATTTTCTTGTAAGATTTCTTATTTTACGTCTTTTAGTTCCCACAGAACATTAAGAACTTTGACATTTGCAGTTATGTACATGGGTCTCCTTTATTAGAAAGCTCAAATGTTTTTGATTCACGAGAAGCAGCAGAAAAGATTGCATTGGCCCTAGGCAGGGTCTTGATGTTGGACCTTGTCATAAGAAATGAGGATCGGCTTCCTTGTCGCCACCTCAGGTGGCGTGGGAACTCCGCAAATTTGCTGTTGGCTGAAAAAGTAGCCACTTCGAACATTGATGCACTGGAGTTGGCCTTTGATTCTGCAATCAAGAGATATAGACCAAAAGTAATTCGTGCACTTCAGAAAGAAAGAAGAGCAACTTCAGTTGACAGTAGACTAAGCACTCCTAATCCAGGATTGGTATCACAGAGCTCTGATCTTTCTGATATTACAGAATCTCCTAAATCTTGCAATATGAGCTTAAAGAGTGAAAATTCAATTGAATCAAGGAGTTCTGATTTGCATATTGTGGCAATAGACTCAGGGGTTCCTCGTAGACCACCAGCAGGGAAACGTGCAAATGACCAAGCAAATTATCCTCGGTTAGTTGAGCTCCTCATAAACAATTCAGAGTATGCATCACAACTGCTGCATGAAATAACTGCCGGAAAATTAGGATCCTCGCTAGAGGATTCTGATAGAATACCCATCTTACCTGGAAGTGAAATGAGTTCAGTCGTGCATGAATTTCGGAGTGGTTTCCGAGCAGCTCTCAGAGACTTGCAGGGATTTCACATCTTTCTTCTTACTCTTCATCAGAAACTGGACAGCCTGTTACGAGCATTTCTCAGTATCATGAATAAATCATCTTGCGGGGATCCTGACAAAGATGATATAGTGGTTCCTGAATCTCAATTGCAGGCTAAAGTTAATGAGGTGCATTGCCCTTCACCAAGCAGGGATTGGATGATTGTTGATAGCAGTTCAGATTTGAATGATTCAGAATCACATAGAACGACTCCTAGGCCTTCGTCTTCTGGATGTAAAGAAATTTCAGATTCTTGTTCTCCAATGTCGCGCGATAGTTGGCCTGGAAAGTTCAGCAAGGGAAGTGGTGAACCCCTACGTAGCCTGCGATTGACTTCAAAACTCCGTGACTTCCACAAATATGCAAAGGTTTGTGATAATCATTATATCTTAAATGTGTTTGAACAGAACATTTTGCCACTACAAATTGCAAACATTACTAAACGGTATGTGGTATCTTAATGTGTTTATTTATATAGATATATGGACAGCTCAAATTGAATAAAATGATGTAAAATTCAGGGTATTAGCTGCAGCTCGCGATAATACTGTGTAATTTTATTAGAGTTATACAGTCTGGCTGATCCCAGATATGAAGGCATATTAAATAATACAGAAGGTAAAAAATAAAAATAAAAGACTGGATTTAGGTTGTTCTATCAATTGACTTATGTCACGTGTGAGGAAGAGTAAATAAACTATAATCAAGAGAAATGTGGAAAGTACAATTAACAGTGTCATTGTTCTATTGTTATTCCGAAGCCCCCATAGACACGGCTATCTAAACCTATGTCGTAATCTAGGTCTATGCTATACAGTATGCACTACTTACCTGGCACCCTCAACTTGTGTGCAAGATTATAACAATTATTGGATAAAAGTTAGTAGATATTTATTTAAGGCCTTGCATTAATATCACTATACACGTTATTTTGAAAAACTAATCACATGCTATTACTTTTCTTATTTTAGCTGGATAAGGAAATATAGAATGAAAATTCTTGTGGAATGAAGTAAGAATTCGACACAGGAAAAGTTAAAGGTTATCTAAATTCTCAGGCGTTGTGAGAATTTCTTTAAGCTAAAACAGGTATACGTTGGTGGAACCGTCGTGTATTTGGCGATATCTTTCAACGGGTGTGAGGTTGAGTATAAGGTGGATGAGGCAGAGAACGTTGATTTAGAGCCCACACCTGATTGTTGAGAGCTTCTACATCAAGCACAGGCTAGTTTGAACCAGACTATGTTTATTAAGGAAGATTTTATTTTTTATTTTTTTTAAAGGATGGTTTACGTTGGTTGTACGAGGGAAACCATAACTCAGGATGTTTTCATTCAATAGTTCAGGGATACATATTCTATCTTATATCAGGTCCATTGGGACTCAATCAGGGAAAGTACTATCTACTGATGATATTTAGAGCTCGGCTATCTCATTCTCCTAAGACCTATCATCTACTTCTTCACAACCTTTGGCTCATATTAGACCTGACATCATTCTTATATTAGTGATGGAGGCAGATATCATGGAACTTAACCTTTACCTGATTGATGAGGTACGAGAAGTAGTTTATAACAATGATGCTGTGGAGATAATATCTTATTAGCTTAGGCTATGATCCTTGCACTTGGGTGTGGGTTTCGGGTAGGATACGTATCTAAGCATTGGATCTTTTATTTTTTTAAATGTAGGATACTAAAAAATGGATAAATAGAGTCCAAGTTTTGGACACATGAACGTGGGTACGTCTTTCATACTTCAATTTTTCCTAGAAATTCACCTGTAAAAAGTTAAATAATAACAATTAGGTGGAAAATTGTTAAAAGATAGAGCATGTCACTTAAAACCCAACTAGAAATTTATACAAAAATATTAAATTATTGAATAAGTATATTTTTTCAAAAATTAATATTAAGAGTTTTTTAAATATATTTTAAATGTTTTTAATAAGTATTTCATTAAATAAAAAATAAACAGGTGGCATAAAGTCATAAATCATAGGCCTACATGCATAAAAATAAAAGACCACTAGTTTTATTGACCTAGAATCCCAATAAAAGCTCAATAGTGTTATTAACCTAGAAGGTTGTCCAAGTCAGAAGAATGGGAGTAATTGGAAAACAAAGATTCTTCAAGTACAGAAAATTTTTGTCAGATTTTTGAATTCTCACTCACATGAGAGTGGGCCTATGTATAAAATATTGAAAAAAAAAATAAAATTCCCACCTTTGAATGTGAGTGTTCGGAAGTACAGGGATTTAAATCCCTGTACCTATAGCAAGGTTGATTTGAAAAGGCACACTGCTGCTTCTTTCTCTTTCGCCGGTGGCTTTTTCTTCTTGATTTTTTAGGTGGCTTATCTTTCTCAATTTTTCTACATATATGTGCTTATAAATTGATGGATGATCTTTCTCCGTGGTGGCTAATCGTTACTTTCTTCCCTTCGCCTTTCTCCACCCTCTCGACAGTAGCGCTAGGTAAAAGAGAGCGAAAATGGGAAGGAAGAAAAGTGAAAGAAAAAAGAGAACTTAGTGTCGCCACTTGTCTCTACCCTAGTGTGTTTGGTTGAAAAGTGTTGTGTACGTCTCATATTTCATACCCGTATCTGGGTCGTGTCGATACGGGTACTCCGGTCGGAAAGAAGAGTCCGAGCATCACAAGGCTCAAGAGCTTGTAAAGACACTAGATTCTAGAGAGGAGCAATGCGGTCCTTAAGCTTAACATGGCTAAGGCACATGATCGCATGGATTGGAGATTCATATATACTATTTTGGAGGGCTACGGATTTGATCATATAAAGATTGACCGGGTCAGGCGATGCATATCGAAGTGTCACTTTTTGGTGCTCCCTAATGGTCGACCTTGTGGATTCTTTCCTTCCTCCAAGGGACTTCGTCAGGGTGACCCCATCTCGCTTTATCATAGCTGTAGACTACTCTCGTCTGCATACACATCAGTTCCAGACATCCTATTATGAGATAGAGACATGGTGGTTCCACATTTATTTCACCTTTGTCCTTTGCCGATATGATTATTTTCATCAAAAGCCAGAAACGATCTATTCAGAGATTGCTTAGTTGTTTGGAACACTATGAGGGTATTTCTGGCCAGTTAAATAACAGGGACAATAGTGGATTCAGCCTGCCTCATAGGGCATCCACCGGTCAGATTAGGAGACTTTATAGAAGCCTGGTTAACTTCAGATTCTATTCAGCTTTAAAGAAATGAAGTTAATTTTCTTCCTTAAATACAACACCAACTAGCTATATTAACCCCTCTGATGAAAGGGGTAGATTTTAGGAGGGAGAGTAACCTATATATAATGAATTTCTTATTTTGCCATGCTTGTTGATCTGGTATGCCAAATCGAGAAACTTGATTCCCATATCAAAAAAGAATTCTAAGCTGCTCGAACTTGTGTAATAGCACAAACACTCATTGATGGAGGACAGCACCACCTATTTCTTGCTAGATGCTACATTGCTCGACATAGCCCAGCATCCCACATCTAGCTTGGGGCTACATAGCCCATATGAAGCCAAATGAAGAAAGTCAAATTTATATTGCATGAGTTTAGCCACAATTCATGGCATAGGCTAATGTTGATTGACGATAGATCTTCAGACACGTTAACAAGTACAGTTAATTGGGATAACTTGTTTAATCTTGTTGAGCATGGCCGACAAATTAATTGTTATGTTTTCAGCTTCATTCATCACACAAAATTTTGAATTTTCCTACAGTTGAAGTGAGGTTGGTGCCAAAAATGGCTCGGCATTGATGCTCCAGATATATTTGGCATTTCCATTTTTCTCAATTTTGGTTAAAAGCTACTGTATCTACTGACTTCGTGTGTTATTTTTATTTTGAACTTACTAACTTCTGACTTTACCACAATCGACATGCTATGAATTTATTTGTCCATATACAAAAATGGTTAGATCATATATAAAAATGACTAAGATGATGTCAGCGTTTGGGAAAACTGGCCTGGCCTGACCTGTTTGACTGGAAAATCTGTGGACTGTTCCACAAACCAGTCCACTTAGCCTAAAAACCATAATTTGAAAAAAGGGGATATAACTGGTCGATCAGGTTTATTGGTTGCATTTTGCTCTTAGAAAAAGGAAATTTTTCTGATAGGTGATTGAGCTTCAGCATATTTCATGCTAACCCTTTGACCTTTGAGATATTATTCTGAATCAATTCTCAAGTGACTTCAATATTTTATTGTAAGTCTTCAAATTTTTGTTTCCTTGGTAACATTCATGTGATTGAATA